CGTATAAGTATGTATTTCGACGTAACACTGGTGGAGTAGCCGAAGCGCGGAATACATTCTGACAGCAGAAGTATTTCGTTATGGAGTTATAATATACTCATATTTATCCGTGTGTGAAAAGCACGGATTTTGGTTTGAAACATATCGCATTTATTTGAATGTGCATTTTAATATGCGGGTAGGTGCTTAAGAGAAGCAACTTTATCTTCCGGGTTTATTTGATTTTACTGGCAACTTTTGGTATTTGCGATTTTTTTTACCGTTTTATTAAGTGGATCATTTATTATTTGCCTTTTCTGTATGATCGGCAATTGTTTGCATTTAATTTATTTTCGGCTTATGAAGGATAGTAACTCCTCGCCTGACTCAGATATCGCCAGAATAGGTATTCCTTAGCCCTGGAGTTAGGACTGTGCTTAGAGAACGGCTTCGCTTCGCGGAGTAGATAATTTTTTATATTTAATTTGAAGCTATACGAAGCTGATTTTCATAACCTACTCATATGAGGCGCACTTGTTTTGAGTTGTCCTATATTGTATTATTGGTCGATTTTCGATTTGTTTGGAAAATTTTGTATATGTAATATTTAAGTGCGTATGCACTAATTTGACATGTGCGCCACCGCTCTAGGATTTGTTCAGAATTTTTTGTTTTTCCATTATTGGCGAAAGCCATCCTGCGGAGCCGAAAAGTATTATGTCCTTTTAATATAGGGACTGTCAGAGGTAACTCTAACTTTGTTCTTTATACCAATTTGTTGAGTGTTCGAAAATTGTGGCTCTAGTAGTAGTCGTACAACGTATCGGCCATTATTTGATCGAGTAGTTGTGGCTTTAGAGAAGTCACAATACTGATCTTTTATAGTTTTGTTTGTTAATGGAAGTTTCCTTAACACTTGCAATTTCCTTAATTGTGAATAAGGGTATTTGTCCTCAACTTGAGTTGGTATGGTGGTAACTGGTTTAATAAAGAGTTCACCTTGTGCTTCGCTGTGCAGCGTTTGAACTTTTTGTGCCTTTGAGCAACATGGTGTCTCTTGGCTATTTTTAGAATTTTGGTTTTCGGGATTTGTGTTTGCAATTAATCCCGCAGTTCTTGATTTATAAGCCCATGTGAAAAATCATAAAAGGCAAATATTACTCATTCTACTTGCCACATCATGCAGTAGTAAAGCCTGACAAAAAAACAACAAAAGTCAGAGCTGTCTTCAATGCCTCAAGAACTACTAGCTCGGGGAATTCCCTAAATGATATTCTATTTACGGGACCCACACTCCAACCAGATTTAATGCTTATTTTAAACTGACGTATATTCAAATACGTATACAATGGGGACGTCGACAAAAAGTATAGACAAATAGTCGTACATAAAGACGATTAAGATATTCAGTGAATTATATAATCCCCCAACAGTCCATTACGCGACTTCCAGCTAAAAACAGTGACCTTTGGCGTTAACTGTGCCCCATACCTAGCCATTCGAACACTCCATGAATTGGCTGACAGCACAAAGTCAGAATTTCCTCTGGCAACCCAGGTGTTAAAAACACAAACGTATGTAGACGATATTCTGTCTGGAAGCCACAGTCTTCCACAAGCATACGAATCATTATCACAGGTACTCCAAGCAATCAAATTCGCAGGGTTTCCATTAAAATAGATTACAGCAAATGACCCAAATATATTAAAAAATATACCAAAAGAAAATTTGTTGGACATTAATTTCCTTATATTCGAAAAGCAAAATACTACAAAAACTCTGGGCATCCAATGGAATGCGATATCGGACAAGTTTTCATATACGACTGAGTCCATATCCGCATTATTCACTATTACAAAACGCCAAATTCTCTCCTCTGTGGCAAAACTTTTTTGACCCCGCAGGATGGCTATCGCCAATTATGATACAAGCTAAAATCCTGATACAAGACTTATGGCTAGATGGTACCGACTGGGACGAGCAAGTAAAGCCACTTCGTTTAGAAAAGTGGTCCCAGTTCGCGAGCAATCTAAAAGATGTCACACAAAAGCAACTCCCACGATGGGTAAATTATATACCAGAGCACAAAGTCGAACTACACGGCTTCTGTGACGCCTCTGAAAAGGCGCAATGCACCACTATATATATTCGCACACATAGCGACAAGGCGACCACAAGCCACTTACTAGTTGCAAAAGCAAAAGTGGCTCCTCTAAAAACAATAAGTCTACCACGACTAGAACTATGTGGTGCACGACTATTTGCCAAACTAGCATCCATAGTGCAAACGCAACTGCATATCAAAGAAAATGAATTATACCTCTGGTCCGATTCCGAGATTGTATTAACCTGTCCACCACATGCATGGAAGACTATATCTCCAATCGAACGTCTCAAATTCTTGACCTAGTGGGATGAGCCACTTGAAGACATGTAGCCAGTGCGAAAAATCCTGCTGATCAAGGTACAAGAGGTGTAAACCTCTGCACCTTGCCACCACCACCCTCTGGTGGAATGGCCCCGATGGTTAACAGAATCTCCCGATTATTGTCCACAATCGCCCATGCGCAACATTATTGCTCCAAAAAGTCGAAAAATCGACTACTTTCACATAACATTGGATGATCCTGACATCCTTGAGAGATTTTCATCTTACCCCGATCCCTCAGGGTAATCGCTTACATGCTCAAATTCATAGAGCGACTCAAACTTAGAATTAAGGGAATACGCACAGTATATCCCCAAGGCGCTACAGTGACGCACCTAAGCTTACAAAAAGCAAAGGTCGCTCTTATCGCATCTACTCAAGCACGTTACTTCAGCTAAAAGATATCAGTACTGAGAGAATCGAAGCCGATTGATAAAAAGAGCTCACTCCTAGTACTAAATCCATTCATCGATACGAACGGTCTACTTCGTGCAAATGGTCGGCTAACAATTCAAGCCTAACGTATACCAGAGAGATCGCAACTTGCCACATTATATCTCAATTATGTCCACGTACTATTAGTACACGCAGAACACCGCCTCATGCAATAAATAGTCCGACAAGAGTTTTATATCCCAAGACTCAAGCCAAAAATAAAGAAATGCATTTTTTCGTGCAAGATATGCCCTATGCATAAACAAAAGATGCGAACGCAGATTATGGCAGTACTTCCACCGGAACTCTGCAACTTTGCTCTGCCCTTTATTATCACAGGTGTCGATTTTGCTGGGCCTCCATGCTAAGGTCTCCCACACTGTTGAGAGGCTACGTTACTGTGTTTGTCTGTTTTACGACAAAAGCAGTACACCTCGAGCTATGTACTAATCTGACAAAAGAGACTTTTCTCGCGGCGTTTGCTCGCTTCGTCGGACGCCGTGACTTTCCGTCAAAACTCATGAGCGACAATGAAAAGACATTCATAGGAGCTCTAAGAGCCACTGAAAAACAATTTGTGGACTTTACCAAACAAGTTTCATCTGAGATTGTACAAAAGTACGCTCCCCAAGGCATTAATTGGCAGTTATTCCCTCCAAGCGCTCCTCATATGGGTGGTTTATTGGAATCAGCGGTAAAAAGCTTTAAATCCCACTTTAAAAAAGTAGCTGGAAACTACAAATTTAACTTTGAAGAATTTACAAMATTATTAATTCGTATTGAAGCCGTTCTCAATTCACGGCCATTGACGACACTCTCGCAGGATCCCTCAGACCTAACAGCTCCTACACCAGGGCACTTTCTCAAAGGAGCACCCATTCTGGCCATACCTGAGCCAGGCATGGAGTCGCTTTCCTTACTAAACAGATGGGAAAGAATTAGAATTCTCCATCATGATTTCAGCCGCCAATGGAAGGAGGAGTATAAAAATTACCTTCACAAAAGGTACCGCTGGAAGACTCTCGAAAAGGCGCCTAAGCTTGGAGATCTTGTCCTAATACATGACGACTGTCTCCCTCCTACAAAATGGCGGCTTGGTCGCATAGAGAAGCTACATCACGGCTCCGACGTCACATACGAGTAGTTGTAAATTAAGATATGAAGCTGTACCTTGGTACAGAGGATCGGAGTAGAAAATGGCAAATTTTTTTTAAGTGGGTGTGGTCCCGTCCTCTAACAAGTTTAATGTACCTATTTCTTAAACCTCTTAAGCTACAAACTCGGATTTCGAGGATACATGGGTGTCATTGGAAAGGTAGTTGCCGCTGATTTATAGTTTTAAAGATATTTGCGTTTAAAGTTAAAAAATTTACARCTTTTAAATTGATAATTTGTTTATTGTGAATAACTTTTTCGCTTATATTATGCACTTTTCACTTACTAACACTTCACTATAACGTTTTTGTATATAAATTTTTTTAATATTTATTGCAAATAAAGCTTTATTTCAATTATTTTGTTTTAGTTAAATTCACTGCATTTGCACTGCAAGAATAGGGTTGCATACTAGCAAATAAATGGTATTGCCATATCTGCCTAGTTGTCAACAAAAAAAAAAAATTTATATACAAAAACGTTATAGTGAAGTGTTAGTAAGTGAAAAGTGCATAATATATGCTATTCTAAATCCCAGCCTATTCCTGTTCTGGAGAAGTTCCCCTATCCGCACATACCACATTTGTACGGAAATTCGTTTTTTTTACCCCTCCGCCAAAGTAATCGGAATCGTGCCTGCCGCTGTTTGGTGGTATTTATATTTTTGCCTTTTAAATGTATGTATTTTTTTCTAATATGTAAGTATGCGTTTTCTTGTAATAGTCACTTTAGTTGTGATCCACTGTATATAATTTCTTAACCTGGAGAAGCACATCTATCCACACATATCCATTTTATCCGCGAGATTGGGTGCTGCTATTCTAAATCCCAATCAAATAATGAGAACGAAGTTTATGGAAACGAAAGTTAATTCATTATTTAGTTGGGTTATCAAATATAGTTCCAACAATGGTATTCAGATATATATATATATATATATATATATATATATATTCTTATTCTGAAACATTATTACGTATATGTATACTTGTCGTGCACTTACTCCAAATACATAAATATCTCGGAATGTATTAATTTAAAACGAATTAATCAGAATTGGCTCACATTACAACTATGCACACATCCATAAGTATGTATACATACATACGAAACTCAGAAAGATGTCCCCTGAAAAAAACTTTCCATTTCTGGAATCTTTTACACCTGTCTCTTATACACATCTAGATGTGTATAAGAGACAGCATTACAACTATGCACACATCCATAAGTATGTATACATACATACGAAACTCAGAAAGATGTCCCCTGAAAAAAACTTTCCATTTCTGGAATCTTTTACACTTATGTATGTATGTCGATATGTACAGTGGCTCCATCGCATGATTGGACAGACAGACAGACAGTTTATCTAAAATTATTGTGCTCCAAACATAAAACAACAGTTATCCTTTTTTATACCTGTAAATTTGAGTAGCAAAACATACCTAAATTTTTTGCACTCAACTAATATGCTAAATGCGCACTTTACAACCACATTTTTTGGTCTTATTTAGTCTTAAATTTTATTTAGTCCCAGAAGAGTTTAGAATTTTTTGATTTATTTTTAAAATGGCTCCAAACGGAAAGCAAACTTCGCTCGAAATAAGGCACCTAGTAGTGAAATTTAATGGTGAAGGTAAAATCGTCCGAGAAATCGCTGAACTGGTAGGAAGAAGCAAATCCACGGTCTATGATGTGATCCACGGTAGAGGAGTAGTAGAATAACTATCAGCTGACGTTATGTAAACAAAGGGACAGCTGAGAGGTGCTACTGTAGAAACTTCAAGGGGTGTTCGGGGTTGAGTTTCTATTAGAATCAAAGATGTCCGACTTTTAACCGGAAAATGGATGCATTGTGTTATTTTCTTAAAATTTATGAAAAAATTGTCCCAAAAATAGTGGTTAAAACTTTAATATATTTTCAAAAGAAAATATTTTTATTTTAATACTAGCTGACTATCATTGTGTCCTGTTGATTGTCATCTCAATTGCAATTTTCACTGGAAACAGAATACGTTTAAACTGAACTCAAAAGAGCTCAAGCATTCTGCAATCTTGTATTCGATAGGTGCGTCACAATCAGTTGGGTTCCAATACACAGTTTCGGCGCATGCAAATTGGAAAACATAATGATGCGGTGAGATACCAGGCCTTTCCAAAGAATTTAGAAATTTTACTGGCTAATTTACAGCGTCGCTTTTATGGTCAAGACGATCGATCGATTTGTATGAGCGCAAGTCTCCCGGAATTTGACTTTGAATCTTCCAATTTAAGTTTGTTCTCGTAAGTAGCGAACTCACCTTTTGTTTCCGAAACTCACTTGATAGTTTTGTTATAAAAGAAATAACGCACATTACAGGGTTTTTTTTTAGAATTGTAAATTTTTTTTATTCTCTTTTATTTCGGAATATTTTCAAAACGTTATATACTGATCGAATACCCCACTCGGCGGCGGAATCAACGTACGATGATGGACGTGGAAGCGAAAAAAAAGGAAAAAAAGATGCTGCGAAAGCTTATGAGCAAGTGCTTGTAGTGTCGACTTATACGGAAGCAAAAAGCGAAGTGTGTGCGGCTGGAGTTGTCCGTGCCTTTTTTTGAAAGTTGTTGTGTTCTAGTTGGTAGTGTGGTGTCATGTTTGAGTGTATTGGTGTGATGTGGAAGGTGAGTAGTGAGTGAGGTGTGCTGTTCGTTTATGATGATTTTATCTGCCAATATGAGGTGTTGAAATGTGATGTAGCTGTGTTTCATGACGGTGTAGACTGAGAGTCATTTAGACATCCCGGCCCCCCTAGGAAAATGATTAGCCTAGTAATCTTTGCAATTGGTGCAATGTGGCCACCACGCTACTGAGCCCAGTGGATTGGCGAGACCGCGGCCTAAGTTGACGCCGCCGAGTAGGGGTAGTATGTTGTTGGCGCCGAGTATGTGTTCGGGATTCTGGTGGTGGCTCAGCTCTGTCGTGCAGCACGGTTCGCCTGCAGTCGTCGGGTCGTAGCACGACTGGTGGAGGCAAGTAATTGTCTGCCGTCTCGATTAAGGAGTGTGTGATGCGGCCGCATGCATATTAGGCACATATATCCGGACGTACACTCCGATGTGGAGTGGGTAGTTGCCAGACAATTTAGGCAGTGGCCATGTGTCTGGACAATCTGCTAGCGGAGCGGAGGCAGCATTCTCTTAAATATGCCGCAGTGTGGCAACCTGCGGGGCGGCGGCAAAGCGGGCATCGGAGGCGCTACGGTGTCGGTTTTATCGGCTGTGGGCAAAAACATAGTTTAACGAGCGGCCGAATTAGTGTTTTGTTTTGCTTACGGAGATCAACAACACGAATGTGACCGTCGGAGCCGTGGTAAAGCTTCTCTATGCGGTCAAGCCTCCATTCAGTAGGAGGGAGACAATCGTCATGAATTAAGAAACAATCTCCCAGCTTAGGCGCGTTTTCTGGTGTTTTCCACAGGTACCTTCTGTGGAGATCCATTAAATAATCTTCTTACCATCGAAGACTGAAATCATGATGGAGAATTTTAATTCTTTCCCATCTATTTAATAAGGAAAGCGACTCCACGCCTGGCTCAGGTGTCGCCAGAATGGGCTTTCCTTTGCCCCTGGTGTGAGGGCTGTAAAGTCTGATGGATCTTGCGAGAGGCCGTGAGTTGAGAACGGCTTCAATTCTGGTTAACAATGTCGTAAATTCTTCGTAATTAAATTTATAAATGCCAGCTAGCTTCTTGAAATATGACTAGAAGCTTTTTACGGCTGATTCCCATAAACCACCCATATGTGGAGCGCTTGGGGGAAAAAACTGCCAGTTGATACCTTGGGGAGCATATTTTTGTACAATGTCAATTGAGACCTGTTTCATAAAATATGCAAATTGTTTTTCTGTGGCTCTTTGAGCTCCAATAGCCATATAGCCTTTCATGAGAGTGGGAGACCTTAACATGGACGCCTTTATTTGAAAAAGCTCAGCAAAGTCGACACCTGTGGGGGTGAAAGGCAGAGCGAAGTTGCAGCGTTCCGGTGGAAGTGCTGCAATAATCTGCGTTCTCATTTTCTGCTTGTGCATAGTGAAAATCGTTGAAGGATGTCAGCATGATCCATTGTTGTGTGATAAGTGGCGATTTTTCGACTTTCTGGGGCAATTATATTGCGCATTGGCGATTGTGGCCAAAAGTCGGGAGATTCTATTAGCCATCGGGCTAATTCCACCAGAGGGTGGCGATGGCGAGATGAAGGGGTTTGCACCCTCGTGTCCCAAGATAGGAAGGATTGTCAGCACTGGCTACGTGTCGCCAAGTGGCTGATCCTACTAGATCAAGTATTTGAGACGTTCGATTAGAAATATATGTTTTCCACGCGTGTGGTTGTTTTTCTAATCAGGCTAGAACTATTTCAAAATCGGACCAGAGGTATAATTTATATTTTGCCATGTTTAAGTGGGTCTGCACCATGGAGACTAGCTTTGCTAGTAGCAGAGCGCCACAGATTTCAAGTTGTGGTAGACTTATGATTTTTAGAGGCGCAACTTTTGCTTTTTCCACTAGTAGGTGGCTTGTAGTTGCAATATCGCCTTGTGTGCGCACCTATATAGTGGCACAATATGCCTTTTCAGAGGCGTCGCAGAAGCCGTGTAGTTCCACTTTGTATTCGGGGGAATAGTTTACCCACCGTGGAATTTTGATCTGCGACATGTCTTTTAGGTTATTAGCAAACTGGGACCATTTTTCTAAGCGAAGAGACTTCACATGTTCGTCGCAGTCGGTTCCGTCTAGCCATAATTCTTGGAACAGGATTTCCCTTGTATCATAGTTGGCGAAAGCCATCCTGCGGGTTCGAAAAGTTTCGCCACAGAGGACAAAATTTGTCTCTTTGTGATGGCGGAAAATGCGGATATTCATTCTGTAGTATATGAAAACTGGTCAGATATCGCATTCCATTGTATGCCCAGTGTTTTTGTTGTACTTTCCTTTTCAAATATAAGGAAATTAGTATCCTATACCATTTGTGTCTTTAGGAATATTTTTTAAAATATTTGGTGGTTGGCTGTAATAATGAGGGCATTTATTACCTGTGACAAGGTATCGTATGCTAGTGGAAGACTGTGGCTTCCAGACAGGATATCGTCTACATACGTCTGTTTTTTTAGCACTTGTGATGCCAGAGGAAATTCTGACTTTGTGTCTTCTGCCAGTTCGTTTAGTGTACAAATGGCTAAGTATGGAGCACAGTTTACGCCAAAGGTTACTGTTTTTAATTTAAAGTCGCGTAGTGGACTATTGGCAGATTTTCGGAAAATAATTCGCTGAAAATCTTGATCGTTTTTATGTACGACTATTTGTCGATACATTTTTTCGACATCCCCATTGAAGACGTATTTATATATACGCCAATTTAATATGAGGAGCATTAAATCTGGTTGGAGTGTTGGCATGATGTGGCAAGTAGAATTAGTAATACTTGCCTTTTATGATTTTTTCACATGGGCTTACTTCCTCCATGTAATCTAAATGAAGGTATTCTTCTAAGACACCATGTTTCAGCTCACCTTTTCTAAGTAGGTTTTTTTCCTTATTTAGAAACTTCTGTATTCCAGCGGTGCGAGAGTGAACTAATTCGAGTGTGGCTGGAAATTGTTGTTTTAGTGGTAGTCGTACGACATACCGACCATTATCTGATCGAGTAGTTGTGGCTTTGTAAAAGTCTTCACAATACTGATCTTCGGGGGTTGTGATTGAAATGGGGGGAAGTTCTTCTATCTCCCAATATTTTTACAACTGTGAATTGAGGTACTCGTTTGAGACTTTCTCAACTTGAGTTGTCAATGTTGTGACTGGTTCTACAACTAGTGCACTTAGGCCCATCCGAAAATGGTATTTTGCGCCAGTAGTGGTTCGAAATTTTTCGACACCTTCTAGTATAATTTGCGATATAAGATCGCTGCCTAATAGAAGGTCTATTTGACCTTGTGTTGCAGTAGGGATCTGCTAGAGTCAGATGTGAAATCTTATCCCAATGCTTGCTATTTATTTGATAGCTTGGAAGCATGTTTTGTTAGTTGCGGTAAGACAATAGCATTAATAATAATAGCGA